CTACAGAATATGACCAAAAAAATTAAAAATTAAAATATATTTAAAAGATAGGAATAAAGAATTATATATATTTACACATAAGTCAAGAAATCTAACCATATACAACATTGTTGCAGGACAGTCCAGCAACACTCCTTTTCCTGTCTCCTGCCTTTGCAATCTTTAAAGAAAATTTTTGTTTGGTTTTTTAAATTTTTTTTGGCGGAACCGGGGATTGAACTGAGGCAGGCACTTATTCCACTGAGCCATCTCCCCAGCCTCGAAAAACTTTTTTTTCACATTCACTATTTTTCAGTTATACCATATAGCCCTCGTTTTCTCTAGATTTTTGCTTTCTTACTGTTTTATAAATGTCATAGATACTTGATAAAAATTTCAAGAGCTAGTGAGGTAGCTCAGCAGACTAAGCACCTACTTAGGCAAGCCCAGGGACTGGGTACCACATGCCTCTGATCCCACCCCTGGAGTGTGCTGAGCCAGCAGCTGAGTCCAGCCAGTGCACGCCTGTATTCCCAGCACTGGGGAGGCTGAAAATGGGAAGATCACTCCAAGTTTGAGCTGCATAGTGAGACCATGTGCCAAATACATTTAGAAAGAAAAAAGGAGGAAGTTAATTAATTTGGCCAGGGCTGGGGATATAACTCAGTGGCACAAGTGCCTGCCTGGGAAGTGTAAAGTCCCGATTGCAACTAATTAACTATGATTTAGTTAGTTACTTGAGACATCTTTTTTTTTTTTTTTTTTTTTTTTTTTTTTTTTTTTTTGTACTTTAGGGAAGAGTCTATAGGGTGTTCAGGGTCTCACTACTAGATGGGACTGATAGTGATTCTCCTGTTTACAGCCTTCCAAGTGTTGGGATTACAGGCATGGGTCACCACGCCCAGTCTCAGTTGCTCTCTCAGCGAGCCCTGGTGATGGGGCCGGATGGGCCCTGCACAGCAGGCCTGGGTATTAAACCCCTGGCCCCCGGCCCCCGGCCCCCGGTCCCTGCCCCTGCCCCTGCCCCTGCCCCTGCTCCTGCTTGCAGGCTCTTTAATCTGCTGAGCTATTTGGCTGGCCCTGAGACAACATCTTGTAGTTTATTCTGGTTTTGAATGTAGTATATAAACCTAAGCTGGCTTTGAAAGCCAAGTAATCCTACTGCCTTGGCCTCCCAAGTGCTGAGAATATAGGTGTCCAGTATAAATGGCTTGAATTATGGGTTCTTTTGGGGGCCGTAGATAGGGTCTGGCTGTGTGGTGTAGGCTGGCCTTAAACTCAAAGCAGTCCTCCTGCCCCAGCCTCTCAAATGCTGGGATTACAGGCATGAGCGTAATCCACTACATCCATCGTGTTTCTTTCTTGATTTTATTCTTTAATTTTTTTACTTCCTTTTTTATTTTTTATTTTTTTTGGAAGAACTGGGGATTGAACTCTGGCCCTTATGCTTGTGTGCTTGCCAGGGAAGCATTTATTCCACTGAGCCATCTCCCTGGCCCCACTTTCCTGTTTTTGAATTTATTTGATACAAGTGATGGTTATTGGTCTTCAAATACTCTTGAGTATGGTCTTTTTGTTATTAGCAAATTCATGGAATCAAAGATTATTAAATCAATAGTTAATGTTTTTATATACCATCAAGAAAGAAAAAAATGGGCCAGGGAGTTGGCTCAGTGGAATAAGCGCTTCCCTGGAAAGTGCAAGGGTCTGAGTTCAATTCCCAGTTCTGCAAAAAAAGAAAGAAAGGAAGAGAGAGAAAAGAAAAGAAATCAATATGCAAAATTTTTATATTACTAGAATTTTAGATTTATACTTATTAAAAGAACCCTTAAGAACTTAGGCTTGGGTTTGTACCCTACTGCCCTGTGGCACTAAGTATTGAACCCAGGGCCCTTGCATGCACCTGCCTCCCAACCCTTTTATTTTCTATCTTAGTATGGGCTCACTGAAATGTTTGGGTGATGATGAGACCTGTGGTCATCCTGCCTCAGCCCTCTAGATAGCTGGAACACAGGTGTTTGTCACTACGCCCAGGGTAGACATGGATTTTATCTAAATCTATGTCACTCCTGATCCTGGCTGTTAGTGCTGGATATATGAAAGACAGCATTTTCTGTGCTCTTCAGCTATAGAACAACTTTATCACTTTGTAGTTCTTTTCTCACTTGGCTGTTTTGTACTTAGAACACAAGCCTTATAGTAGTTCTTCAGTGAGCACCTGTTCGCTAGCATCAGTCATGTACTTTCCCCTTGGTCTTTTCTGCATACACAGACATTTTCCCTCAGTGCACATCTTCATTCAAATGATGCCAGCATGAAACCTCTTGTCAAGCCTGAGTATGTATGTAGGCAGTGCCAGCTATGATGACCGTCACCTGAGTGACAGCCCCAATAAGACAGTGATTATAAAATCCTGCCCAGTTGCATAGATAGGAATGTGTACATCCTGGAATTGATGACATATGGTATCTTGGCATAGGGGGCTATATCCCATGCCTCAGATTGGGGAACTTATACGAACCAGTGATGTATTTCTCAGTTCCAGAGGCTGGATGTCCCAAATGATGCCAGTATGGGTAGGCCGTGGAGGCTTTCTGTTTCACCCTGCAAGCCTCCTTGTGTCCTCTTATGGTAGAGAGGGACCTAAGTACATCTTGAGTCTCATGAGGCTCCAGTTCCATTGTTAGTAGGTCTATATAGCCATGTGTTCATTGTCCCTTTCTCTTTACATTATCTCTCTGCTCACGTAAACTCCTTGTGTTATGGTATCCCTGTCTGCATCTTCATCCCTTTGTTCTTGTGCAGTGACACAGCTGTGCAGCTGATCCCAAGACATCTCTACCTGTGTCAGACTATATGTGGGCTATGTATTTTCTCCTTTCTTTCTATTCTGAATCAACTTCTTTTGCTGTGTGCTCTACATCAACTAGTGATGTTCTCACCACCTAAGTGTCACCCAACCTAGAAACCCTAGAGACATCCTCAACACCTCAGCAGAGGGTTCTATGCAGGGCTGCAAGAGGTTTCTGTGCAGGGCTTCAGAAGGACCTGTGTTCTACCCCAGAACCACAGAGACAAAGCAAAGCCAGTAGCTCTGCATTGCCTGTTCAATAAAGTGTGAAATCTATAACAAGATGGTCAGAGCTGTGCACCCTCTTGGCCTGAACTTCCATTATGGCTTACTTTGTATTTTATTCTCATGGTACCTGAAATAGCAGCACACTCTGTTCTTTACTGTTTTTCTGTTTGTGCTGTGTCCTCTACAATTTAAAAATCTTATCTAATCTCATGAAACTGCAGTTATCCTTTTATGTACCAGTGAGAGCTGTTCATATCGTCGTGGCTTAATTTTGTGTACTGTATTTATATGTATTTTTATTTATGATTTTTCCTTTAGGAGAGTAACTTCTTAGTGACCACAAATGGAATTTTTTCATATACTGTAGATAGTACTTAGGTTGTCTTTGAAATGCAGTATGAGTTGAATCAATGTGAATTAAATGATTTTTTTTTGTTCCTTTAATTAATAAATATAGCCTGAGGTTTTAAGTGTCATACAGACTACCATGAGAACAGGATTTTTTTTTTTTTTTAAGAGCATTGTTAGGTTTTTTTCAGGTAATCTAATTTTCTCAAATTAAATTTATTTTAACTAGTACATAAAAATATTAGTCTGGCTCCTTGCTGTTCAGGGAACCAAAGCTGCCGCATCTGAAGGACAAGCTCTGCTCTGCTGCCCACGCTGCTCACTGTGATCCTAACTGAGCCCCAATAATTAATTAGAGGGACCAAATTTAATGAAAACAAGACACTTTATTTGTAAAAAGAAAAAGGAAGGGGAAGAAAAGACAATAGTTATCCTGATAAGAATCAAGGTGGGGGGCTGGGGAGATAGCTCAGTAGCCTAAGCATCTCCCTGACAAGAAAGAACCCGAGTTCAATGCCCAGTACCAAACAAACCCCAAAAGAACCAGGGTGGGGACTCCATAAAAGTGGATGACCCATAGACCTTTGTCTTCAGCTGCTTGGTGGGGAGAGGATACCTTCCACCACTGACTTGCCATAAGAATTGGCTTCCCAGCACACTGCCTACCATCATTTCTTCCAGGGGCCTGTGGACAGCTTCTTTCTGTTTACTTGTCCTTGACCTACCTTTTAGGGCCTTATCTTTCGGGTGGGAAGCTAGTTGACAGGGATGTTTCATTTATAGTTAAGTTAGAGTACTCTATAAGGACCCTAGAGTGAATACTAGGGTGGCTCTGGAGTGAACACAGGTGTATATGTGTATACGTTAGTGCAGAGATGTGAATACATCCTGTCTTAAAGTTAGTTACATGCGCACACACATACCACCTTCCCCTATATTGTATTGGGGGTGTAGCTTACCGTTTGTACACCTGGCTTTCTCTTTGTGTCCTGCCTGTCAGTTCTTTTTGGTCTCTTGGTGCAAGTCCCAAGGCCATCTGATGCCTTTCATTATCTGTGGGTTTTTTCTCTGTTTCTCAACCCCATCCTTGACATATCTCCCAGGGGAATCTCCCAAGTGAAGTTTGTTTTTAAGTCCTAGTCAGGATTAGCTTGCAAACCTAAGGGAGCTCGTATTCTGTTTTGTTGTCTACAGACCCTTGACCATACAAAAACACAAAAATTGTACATACTAATGGGATAACTTTTGATATTCCAGTACATGAGTATACTGTGTAATGTTTAAGTCAGGTTAAACTTATTTCCTTAAACATTTATCTTTTTTAATGGCAAAAACTTTAAAAACCCCTGGGCCAGGGAGATAGCCCTGTGGTCTAAATGCCTGCCTGGCAAGTGCAAGGACCTGTCTTTGATCCCCAGTACCACATGTCATGCTGGCCTCCGAAACTGGTTGTGGTGGCGCATGCCTGTAATTCCAGCACTTGGAGAGGCTGAGACAGGAGGATCACTACGAGTCCTGAACTGTATGCTGGGTAGCAAGACCTATACCAAATTAAATAAATAAGTATAGTGTTTATTTTTAAAAGAAACTTTAAATACTTTTTTAGTTGGGAGATAGCTGCAGCTCAGCAGCTTAAGCGCCTGCCTGGCAATTGCAAAGTCCAAATTTTGATCCCTGGAAACAAAAAGAAAAATCCTTTTAATTTTGCTTCACATGAATGTTGAGACAGTATCTTGTTATTCAGTTGACCTTGAACTCCCTGTGGCCTGAGCTGCCCTGGAGCCCTTGGTGATCTCTCCTGCCTCTGCCTCCTCAGTGCTCAGGTTGAAGGTGTGTGCTGCCACATGGAGCATAGTTTTTTAAACTACTTACCAGTCAAATTACTTAAATACAGGATGACCAAAAATTGCTTAGTGTTTGTATTGTTATTGTTAATTTTTATAAGATAAGAGGAAATATAAAAATGACAGTTTTATCAGATTTATTCAATACTTTTTCTGGATATGGTACATCTTAAAACATTCCCTACACAGTGCAGTGTTACAATCTGGACAGTAGTATCTAATCTCTTTCTGAATTCTTTATTACATTATTGGCTTTCTTTGAATAACACTTTGTACTATTTTGTTGGCCTTTCCTTTTTTTCTGTGGGTGGTACAATTTCAGTAAAATTTCTGCCCAATATCCATAATAGTGAAGACATCAATGATGGACATCCTAGTTGGCATTTCACTAGCCCATATTTTTCAATTATTTGGTCTGTTACACCTAATCTGAATTGTAAATGACTTCTTGATGAAACCCTTTGTTTCAAATAAATAACGAATAAGTTTATTATTGTTTGGTCCAGAAAGTGTATAAATATTTTATATTTTTTGTTCACTTTTTTTTTGTTTGTTTGTTTGTTTTTTGTTTTTTGAAGCAGATTTGCTAGGTAGCCCACGCTGGGCTTACAGTGATCCTCCAGCATCAGCCTCCTGAGTACTGAGATTATAGGCATGGGCCGCCGCACCTCACCTGTTTTGTTGTTGTTAGTTTTTTTTTTTTTTTTCCAGAACCAGGGATTGAACTCAGGCCCTTGTGCTTGCCAGGGAAGAGCTTATTCCACTGAGCCATCTCCTCGGCCCCTGTTTTATTGCTTTTTGATTATGGGATAACTTGCTAGATGTTCATAAGCTCTATCAGCACCACCCATACTCTTACTATAATCACTGACCACTACTGTAATTCTTTTAGTTTCATTCCAATTCTGTCTTTTCTGTGTTATGAGGATTTTTTTTTTTTTTTTTTTTTTTTTTTGTCCATTTCATAATGTAGACTTTTCCTCTCTGATATGCTAACATTTCTCCCTTTTTCGTTTTTTTTCTTTTGCAGATCTTTTGGTACTTCCTTTCCTATTCAGTCTCAGTGCCCCAGATATGTCTGCTTTGTGTTATAAAAAGAGTATCACTAATTTTTGGAGAAGTATAAAGATTGTATCCTGTGTACTTACGATAAAAGTTTTGTTTTTGTTTTGTTTTTTTCTTTCAATTTATGTATTTGGTACAGGGTGCCACTATGCAACTGGGACTCCAGCTCGGACTCAGTGATCCTCCTGTTTTCAGCCTCCCCAGTGCTGGGATTACAGGCCCAGACCCTGTTGCCAGCTCATCATACCCCGGAGGGATTGGCATGGCATGCAGGACTGGGGATCAAACTCTGGTCCCTGCATTTGCCAAAGTAGGTGCTTAATCCACTGAGCAATGTCGCTGGCCCTGAGTTTTTATAGATTATAGCACAAACACAAATTAGTAAAAGATGATAATTTATTATTAGATTTTACTAGAAACAAACATCCAAGGCAAATACATTGTTCTAGATAAAGTACGCAAAAAATAGTCCATATAAAAGACTGGGGTGAGGGGCTGGCCAAATAGCTCAGTGGATTAAAGCACTTGTTGCAGGCATGGGGCCTGGTGTTTGATCCCGTGGCCTGCCTGCCAGCCCCGCCCCCGGGGGCTGAGATGGCAATTGAGACTGGGCATGGTGTCGCATGCCTGTAATCCCAGCTCTTGGGAGGCTGTAAACAGGCAGATCACTAGGAATCTGATCGAGTAGTGAGATCCTGAGCACCCTGCAGTAAAGAAAAGATTGGGGGGTATTCTGTGTGCACAAGAATCAACTGGAGGAAATGACACATGCCAGGTGGCACGGAAGAGTTGGTAACTAAACACACTTGGTGCCCAGGTGAGGTATGGGTAGACTGCTCAGTGGTAAAATGTAGAAAAGTGTTATTTTTATCTGTAAAATCACCTTACTGAACAATAATAAGCCAGAATGGAAGGCAGGTATGATTGGTGGATAATCGCACTTAAAATTTTTTTTTATTCACTCTAAAGGATAATTTCTTGAGAGGAGATAACTCCCGTAAAGTTCAGCACCAGCAGCAGAGGAAACCCAGGAAAAAAACCAAGCCTCCTGCACTTACCAAAAAACACAAGAAAAAGAGACGGCGTGGACCTCGTCGACCCCAGAAGCCCATTCCCCCCGCGGTCCCCCAAGGGAACCTCAGCATGCCCACCAGCGTCTCACTGCCAGTGGAGGCTCCTCCCCTCCGGTCAGTGGTGGCACAGCTTCGCTTTCCCTTGCTTCTCCTGAGGTTCTCAAAGTGCCTGCCATTGTGTGGCACCTTAGTTGCGGAATTCTGTGGGTAGTCTTGTGTACAGGCTGACCAACACTGAAGCTCTTGGCCGTGGCAAAGGGAATGGATACTGAAATTGAGAATTTACTCTCAGAATTTTGTTTTAAAATGAATTGCATGTGTTCTGACAAATATTTCATAAGACATGATTTATTATTAGTTTTATTAGACTTAAGCATTTTGATCAGATGGCTTCTGTTTCAGCTAACCATTTTAATTTTACCAGTTTATTTTGTTTTTAAAAACATTTTGACTAGATTTGAAATTCTACTAAAAAGTACTAATATACAGTTGATAAAACTTGTGAATCATTGTCTTAATTTAAAGTGAAACTACCAACCAGAATGAATTGTTCTACCTCCATCCCTGGTACAAATTGCAGAAATACATGACCAATTGTGTCCAGGTCTTTTTTGCAATGTGTGTACTCTTAGATTTTCCTTCTCATAAAATAGGGAAGGAAGGGGCTGGGGAGATGGCTCAGTAAAATAAGCGCTTGCCTGGCAAGCACAAGGGCCTGAGTTCAATCCCCGGTTCCGCAAAAAAAAAAAAAAAAAAAATAGGGAAGGAGATGTTTTCTGTTACAATTTTCCATGCTTAATTGGGTATACAAATCCTAATAGACATTAGGTTCTTTTTGTGTTGAATGAACTTGTTTTGGTGACACTGTGTGGAGGGTAAGGTCCTGGGACCAACTGCATTGTCTTCCAGGAGCCCGTCCACCCCAGAGCTGAGTGCTGATGAGTTGCCGGATGACATTGCCAATGAGATCAGCGACATTCCACATGATTTGGAATTGAACCAGGAGGACTTCTCTGATGTCTTGCCCAGGCTACCTGATGACCTACAGGATTTTGATTTTTTTGAAGGTCTGATCAGTATTTTGATAAAAGAAACTAGTTTGTTTTGTTAGGTTTTGTTTGTTTGTTTGTTTTTTGCGGAACCAGGGATTGAACTCAGGCCCTTAAGCTTTTCAGGGAAGTGTTTATTCCACTGAGCCATCTCCCCGGCCCCAAGAAACTAGTTTGAAGAATAAGTTTATAAGAAAAATAGTTTTGAGGGTGGTATCTGAACTGTTCCTCATAACATGTTTTTTACCATACATTAAAATACATATATCTCCTAATGTCATTTTACCCTTTGTAGAAGTGATGACTATAATTTGTTTAACCATATTACATGCTTAATAGCTTGCTTGCTTACTTACTTATTTATTTATTAAAAGAATAGGAAAAAAAAGAATAGAAAAATGTAGTGAGGTAGTGGGGAATAAGAATAGTTCCTACAAAACAGGAGGGGTCCAGAATGAATTGGTCCCAAGATATGCTTAATAATTTAATACTTTGGTGGTAAGACCTATCATCCCTTTAAAATGAATAATTTTCTTTGTTTATATTAAAGTAAGGACATTTAAAACCTAAGTTTATTGTGGTCTTTTTTGCAGAATATAGTGGTACATGCCTTAATCCTGACTATTCAGGAGTGTGAGCTGGGGAGATGGCTCAGCAGCATAAGCACCTGCTTGGTAACACGAGGTTCTGAGTTCAAACCCTGGTACTAAAAAAATAAGGGAGCACGAGGTAGAGAATCTCAAATTTAAGGCCAGCCTGGTCAATTTAACAAGACTCTAGAGGTCATGAAGCTAGCTCAGTAGAATAAGTGCTTGCCTGGCAAGCACAAGGGCCTGAGTTCAATCCCTGGTTCAGGAAAAAAAAAAAAAAAAAAATAGCAAGATTCTGTCTGAAAATAAATAATTTTAAAAGGCTGTGCATGTATTTTTGTAATTTTTTTAAAAATTGGGTCAGCTAGGGGCCCGGGGAGATGGTTCAGTAGAATAAGCGCTTGCCTGGCAAGTTCAAGGGTCTGAGTTTAATCCCTGGTTTCGCAAAAAAAAAGAAAAAAAGAAAAAAAATTGGGCCGGCCAAATAGCTCAGTGGATTAAAGCACCTGCAAGCAGGTGGAGGGGCTGGAGGTTTGATCCCCAGGCCTGCCATGCCAGCCCCAACTCCAGGGTGCATTGAGGCAGCAATTGAGACTGGGCGTGGTGGTACACGCCTGTGATTTCAGCACTTGGGAGACTATAAACAGGTGGATCACTGAGTCAGGTCTAGTAGTGAGGCCCTGAATACCCTATAGATCCTTGCCTAAAATACACTATATATATATGTCTAGATAGATAGATAGATAGATAGATAGATAGATAGATAGATAGATAGATTCATTCATTCATTCATTCATTCATTCATTCATTCATTCATTCATTTTTTTATTTGGTGTGAGGTCTTGCTACGCCGCAGCTTGGACTCGTAGTCTGAGCCTCCCCAGTGCTGAGATTACAGGTGTGCACTACCATGCCCGGTTTCAGTGGCCAGGTCAGCGTGGTGCTGGCCTGCCCTGTGGTACCAGGGATTGAGCCCAGGTTTTTTGCTCTTGACAAGCAGGCATGTAGACCACTGAGCTATCTCCCTGCCCATAGCATGTGACTAGCATGTGTTCAGTGTTCCATATTGAAGGAAAAAAGGGAAAGCAGAAACTTGCCCTAAGTTTAGCCTTGTCCTTCAACTGAAAAGCTCATTTCCAAAATAAAATTTGCTTTACAGTGGTTTGAAGGGATATCTTTTATACACTTAGATTTTTTTTTTTGCCACTAAAATTTGGATATTTCTATGATGATTAATAAGTAGTTAACAATAGATTCTTAATAAATAAATTGAAAATGAAATAAAGTATGCTTATGGGCTGAAAAACTAAGGAAGAATAAGAAGGCTTTAGCAAGTAAAGCAAAAGTATTTTGAAAAGTAACCAAGCACTTAGTGAACTAAGCACTTAATGCTGTGCTCTGTATTGTGCCCCTGAAGTTCTGCGTTCTGGTCTCCCCAGCTGCCCTCTGTCTAAAAGAAGGAAGGCACTGCCTATCCTGATGAAATGGTTTTGGAGAATCTTATGAATGAACTGAAGATGATGCTTCAAGTTACAGGATAGCTGATGTTTCAGATTGGTCCTATAAATTAATATTTTGTTTTGAGGGAGTCACTTTCAATGAAATGTTATTTAAAATAATAGTTCAAATGTATGATTACTGTACTACAGACAGATAGGTATTCTACTGATTCTTGATGACTTTTCTCAACTCAGGAAAGAATGGAGACCTTCTCCCGATGAGCGAAGAGGCTGAGGAGCTTGAGCGGGCCTTGCAAGCTGTAACTTCTCTCGAGTGCCTGAGTAACATTGGGGTACTTTCCCATTCAGATGGTGTGCCAGTCCAGGAGTTGTCAGAGAGAGGAATAGGGGTGTTTTCCACGGGCACTGGAGCTTCAGGAATCCAGTCCTTGAGCCGAGATGTGAACACGGATCTAGGGGAGCTGTTGAATGGGCGTATAGTATCTGATAATTTTTCTAGTTTAGAGCTGGATGAGAACCTGCTCCGTTCTGCTACCTTGTCTAACCCACCTACACCCCTGGCAGGGCAGATCCAGGGGCAATTCTCTGCCCCAGCCAACGTTGGCCTTACTTCTGCCACTCTGATCAGCCAGAGTGCACTCGGGGAGAGAGCCTTCCCAGGACCGTTTCATGGAGTCCACGACGGCAGCCATGCCTCCCAGAGGCCACATCCTGCCCAGCTGCTGAGCAAGGCGGATGACCTGATCACCTCACGACAGCAATACAGCAGTGACCATTCACACTCCTCACCCCATGGAAGCCATTATGATAGTGAGCACGTGCCGTCTCCCTACAGTGACCATATCACCTCACCCCACACAACATCTTACTCCGGTGATAATATGGCAGCTACCTTTTCAGCAGAGATGCCCATCATGGCACAGCATTTGCTCCCCACACAACTTGAGGTGCCACTAGGAGGAGTGGTAAACCCTAGAACTCACTGGGGTAACCTTCCCGTCAACCTCGGTGAGCCCTCTCCATTCAGCAACCTTCTCGGCGCAGATGGACATCTTCTTTCCACTTCCCTCTCCACACCGCCCACCACCTCGAACTCAGAGACCACACAGCCTGCCTTTGCCACCGCAACCCCCAGCAGTTCCAGCGTGCTCCCGGGGTTGCCACAGACCAGTTTCAGTGGCCTGGGGCCTTCTGCAGAACTTGTGGCCTCCACCTCTCCCAAGCAGCAGCTCCCTCAGTTCAGCGCAGCCTTTGGCCACCAACTGAGTGCTCACAGTGGCATCCCCAAGGACCTGCAGCCCAGCCACAGCTCCATAGCGCCCCCTACAGGCTTCACAGTGACAGGTGCCACCACCACAAGTACCAGTAACACATCCTCTCCCTTTCCCTCTCCTAACTGAGCGCGTCCATGTGTGTTTCCAGGCAGGTGGGAACCGGAGTTTTCTTTGTTTCCTCTTTAGCACCCCTCTCCCCTTTCCTAACAGATTTCCAGGTTGCAGTCGGGGATGAGGGGCACTGCCTTCTCAGTCCAGCAGGTGTCTGCCAGCGGCCTGCCTCAGTATTTCACACGTGCTCCTCGGCACTGGTGCTCCTTCCCTCTGATAGGCCCCGTGGCCTAGCTGTCTCCTGCTGGTTCAGCACAGTGACTGGAGGATCAATGTTGAGCAGCAAGTTCTAGCAGTGGAAGATACCTCAGATTACCAGTGCCCTTTACTATTTACTAGTATCCCAGATTAGTGTTTTCCATTCTTCAGCCAGGTTTCTATGTAGATGGGTCCAGGCAGAATGACCTGTTCACTGGGTTCCTGTGTAGGAAGTATCGGGTGGTATGGAGAGGCAGGTCGAGGCTCTGACTCAGTGGCAACTGCCATCCACCGGGCAAGCCCAGATGCCACTCCTCATCACAGTTGACTGCAGTGGAGGCAGCACCTTTGACCACCTGTGCGTGTGTGCACCCATGCATATGTTTTGTGCTGTGCAGGAAGTAGCCTTCCCATTGTTTGTTTGCTTTTTAACCTATAATAAGTAGAAGGCTCTTTTTCCTTTCCTGTGTCTCATACCCTAGTAATGTTGCTCCTTCTGTCCCATTGAATTAAGTAAAATTTCCTGAATAGAGTGGTAAATGGCCTGGTTATGTGAACAGCATGACCTTTTTCTGTTAAGAGTTGGTCCATGAGGAAATGGGACACAGAAAGTGGAAGTCATGTCAGCATGGGATGTTACAGGAAGTTTGCCTGGAGTGGCCATAGGGTAGTCACTTTGCCCTTTTCAGATCCGCAATTTTTTTTAGTCCCTTGCTCATGGAATACATTTGTAAGATGTAATCGAAGGAGCTATTTTGATGTGAAAAGGCAGAATAGGTGAAATAGATTTGAACGATGAAATCTGTGAATTCCTTGGTCCATCTTTTTTGCTTTTGAATTTTTCATGTTTACAGTAGTGATTCTTTGGTAAGATTTGTAAAACGTTGAAAATGCTTGTAGAATCAGTGTACCAGTTGTGAAGTGATGTGTAATAAATCTCAAGGATACACATTTTAAAGTTTGTTTCAAAGCAGAATGTGGAAATTAGACAAATTGTACCTACAGTTGGTACTTTTAAAATAATTTAAGTACTTGTGTTTAAATAAATTTGGAAATAGGCAGAGGAAATTCTTTTAAAGCACCAGAATTTTAGGGTTAAAAGTCACATTGGGTAGTTTAGTTAGTTGGAAACTACGAAATGAATATGTGGCATTTCTTCTTGCCTTTTCTCCCCCGCTTCCCCTTGAAGGGTGGAGCTGGGTTGTAAAGGCATCTTTACTTTTGCTGTGAAGTTTCATTGTTCCTTAATTCCATCAGCTATTTATAACTGAATGCAGTCTAATTTACACATACATATTTTAAAAGATAGAGTATATGTTTTAATGATGTGGTACAACAGTCCATTTATCAGGGAGCATTTCATCTTTCTTTTGTCCTAATAGGTTAAAATTGATGTATTTTCCTACTTCCTGTATGTATGTTCACACTGTGCTAGTTCCAACCAGACTCTTCTTTTGAAAGTTTTTCTTTCTCTGCTTTTTAAAAGAATGATGGTGATCAGCAGGCATTATGCGAATGCCACGTGCCTGAGCTTATGGGGGAAAATGTCACATGCCTGTGTGAAACCATGATATGCCCTATTTTGTATTTATTGAAATTTTTTTGGGGGGCCAAATATGTTTGTAATATATTTACTTTTTTTTAAAAAAATCATGTTTATTGATTGGAAGATTTATTTTTAATAGCTTTGTCTTTTTTGCAGATTGAAAAATTTCTAAATTATAAATTATGTCACAAAGCAAAGTTATATTTGGTATCACCATAAATTTCTATTCTGAGTGGTGAGAGAGATAATTTGAATAATTCTCACCTGTGAACCTGTCAGTAAGCTTTTTTACTTTAGTGCACTGTAACGAAATGATGATGAGTAGTTACCTCTGCTCAAAAGTGTCATTTAGTTTGCTAAGCTATTTTCACATCCCATTATAACCACCACTAGATAACTTCATTCCTGGCAATTGTGTTTGGTCTCTCTTGTGTACTAATCAAAGGTTGTAGCAGAGCAGCACTTCTTATTAGTCTTTTGACAATGAAGGAAGTCATGGTAGTTCATTTGAACTTATTCTGGCTATTTGTCCCATGTGTTAGCTGCTTAAAATTCTTCAGCTGTCAGAACTGAGTTTGCAGTAAGTTGCACTTGTATTGTTTGCAGTCTTCTGTTTTATGTGCATTTAAAAGCCCTTCTTTGCTTTCTAGCAAGGAGGCATGAAACGATTGGGAATGTTGCCAGTTATAGCTTCACACCAAAAACGTTCAGTATGTTCGCTTTGTTTATAGATGCCCCTGATGGTAGCTGAGGAAAGGGCACTTTTCGAAAGTACCGGTGTAGGGTTGAATAATTAGCAGAAACACTTTTCCTCTTCTCATATACTTCAAAATAAATATCCAGGCTTTCACTTCACTTGGCTCATCCTGTTCCTGTGGGTCCATTGTTAGAAGAGAAAACATCTGTAAGCCCAGAGATACCTGTTGTGTTTTTCTGTTACTTACTGGAGCAGTTCTAGCCTGTTAGTAGTAGGTTCACTGCAAGTGTACAAAGAATGAAGTATCTTTTACTCCAAAATTATAAAAATTGATGTCTTTTAAAATAGCACTTACGTTATCATAAGGCAATACTGGAATCAGAAACATCTTATGTAAGTTCCTAATTAGGTAAAAAGTAGCTCTTGCTCTAGTGTTTAACGCATAAGGAATAGTGGCAAAAAAAGTTCACCACTTCTGCAGTTCTTGGGGACCATCCATTAGGCCAGTTGGGTTATATACTGTGACTTTAGTTTTAGAATTGCTGCAGTTGATGGATACATTCTTTTCTCTGAAGTCTTGGTACTCACTGACTGATTTCTAGCATCTGACAAAAAAGATGGGCTTTCTCTAACTTTTAATATCATTTAATAAAAGCACATGAGGCATTGGTTTTTTTCCTGTATCAAAATGGCTTAGCAGTTTTCATGTCTGGGTAGGTTATGTAGCTAGTAAACAATTCAGGATAGTAAATACCAAGTTACACTTAACCCAAGTTACAGACTATGCAATAAAAATTAATTTTCTACTTAGTGTCGCGTAGCTTACACAGCAGAAGGATTATTTTCTCTAGTAGACCTACCGTGTGCGATACACCTGCATTATAAATGACTTCCTGAGCAATTTCACCTTGGCAGGCAGTGTAGTATGTCTAGTGTCCCTCTATGAAAAGATTATAATTTAACGAGAAACAAATAGTAGGTATGGAGAACACATTGGAAAGTGATTATTTTAAATTTTATTTTTCTTAAAATTTGGTGTTACCTTTTGTGGCTTAAGGCTAAGGAAAGTTAATACTTTATTTTTTGCCAAATAACTATTTATAAGATGTATTTCTGATTAATGTCTCAACTGTAGGTTATCTCATTCTTTGTGACTAACACTAAAGCTTTCTTTGGTTAGTGTTCATCCCTAGCTCCTGGTCCAAGTCCACACACACAGAGTACCCTGTCTATGCTAAGTTTCTTTTTACAGGAAAGAAGATAGGTTTCAGTGGACCTGTACCTCGGATTGTTGGTAATTTGCATTAGAATTTGAGTCCACATTGGCAGTCCTTTGTCAGTTTGTTGGTCGTAGCCTGCAGTCCTTTCTTCGCCTTGCATCGGGTCCTGGGGATATTGTAGGCTTTAGCATAAGGCAGTACTGTGCTTCTCCAGCTTAGTTGAAAGGTTGCTGTGGATTGGTATTGCAAAAACACGAGGTATTAACACTAAAATAATTCAATAGATTTGAAGTTCATTAAAATTGTTCTGTGTGTATACTTGTCAGTTACTCCATCTCTTCCTTGGAGTGATCTACTAAGTTGTCAAAGGAAATTTGCAGTTTAGTGTGGCAATTTAGAGGATTCCTTGAAAGAAATTCTCTTGTACTGAACAATCCTCCTTTATAATGCTTTACCAATGCCTGATTGTACTAATGATTTTTTCCTAACAAAATCTGCATTTTATTAGTCATCCATCTGTCTGTCTGTCTAGATACATAGATCTACACGTAGATTTTTTTTTTTTTCCTTTTTAGTAAATTGAAAATAACCGTATCTTCACTGGCATTCCTTAGAAAAGTAAAACAGTGTAATGATTTCCTAATACATTGGCCTTTGTAAACTTTCCTATATCATATTCTAAAGGGTACCAAAATCATATTTAGTAGATTAAAGTAACATTTTTTTGTTTTTGTTTTTAAAGATGGAAAGGTTTATTTATCTCAGTTTGTTGAGGTTTCCATCCATAACCTGCTGGTTTAAAGCAGCATTTTAAATGCCATCTTTCAAAAGATTTGGAGTGAAATATCAGTGGAGAACATATACACAAGGGCTAGGGATATATAGCTCAGCAGCACAGTGCTTGCCTGGCAAGTATAAGGTCCCGGGTTTGATTTCTAGTACCCACAAAAAAAATAAAGAAAAAAGAGTGAACATATACACATATTGGTCTTCCCTTCCCCCTGCCAGTGAGTTAGAATGAATACTTACATGTCCTCTTATAACCAGTGTCAGTAGTGCTACAATTGTAGGTCACACTTAGGGAGCCTTTTCCTTTTTTGCTCCAGCTGTTATTTTTTGTTAGCTTTTCTCTCTTTCCTCCCCTCCCCTCTTCTCCCCTTCCATTTCCTCCCCTGTCCTCCTTTCCTCCTCTTCTCCTCTTCAGTCCTCTTCTCTTCTCTTCTCTTCTCTTCTCTTCTCTTCTCTTCTCTTCTCTTCTCTTCTCTTCTCTTCTTCAGTCCTCCTCTCCTCTCCTCTGTTCTCTTCTCTCTCTCCCCTCTCCCCTCTGTCATTTTCTCTCCTCTCTGTTCTCTCTCCTCTCTTCAGCTTTCTGCACTGTTATAGAGCCAATCAAAGGTGATGGGGCATTTCAGGAAGAGTAAATTGCATATAATTTTCTTTACCTTGTGTTCCATAATTGGGAATGTTTGGTGAGTTGAAGAGCAGACTGCGGGTCATCTAAAATTTATTCTGAAAACCTGTCTTGTAAGAGGAGGGGTCTGTGTAGCTCTGAGTGTGCCATGTTGGGCAGCAAAGCTTTCCTTCCCCTTCTGCCTACTCACTTCCTCCCATCCTGAGGACTGATGTATGCACATGTCATCTTGGCCAGACAGAAGTAGAGCCCTGTTCTTTCACTTGTTTTTCATTGTTTTTGTTTGTTTGTTTAACCTGGGGACCACTGACATGTCCCCATGGACAGCATTTCAGCATGCAGGGCAGACATGGTTGGTTTTACTGGGGAGTAGAGTGGTTTGCCCTGAAAAGACTCCAACCTGCATCCTTAAGGTACAGTTGGCTCTGACTGATGAGTGCTACCATGATGGAAAATTTGACACTTGGTGACATTGTTTTCATTTGTTTAGAAGGGTTGAATCAGTTCCTCTCAACAGTGATAGTTCTTTTCACTGTATAGTATTGAGTATGTCTCAGGGATTCCTTGCGGAAATTAGGGCAGTTTTTAAAATAGTTTTTAAAAAAAAACTAAAGGTGACTCACCATTGAAGAGAGTGCAAGAAAGAAAATATTTGGTTTCATAGCCCACAATGTCTCGCCTAGGACCTTTTCCTTTCTACTTCAGGCTCTCATCTCAGCTTCAGCATACGTAGACTCCTTTCCCATCACACACAGCTTTAAAACTTTTATTTAAAAATTTCCTTCCCCAATGAGCTTTCAGAATACTTATTGTAGATTTTAAGAGAAAAGGTATATTAATTTATGCTATTAACATCACCTCATAAATTATAAGTTTTATACTAAAGCTGTATTGAGTGTAATGAATTATGTTGCTATGTGTTTAATAGCTAAAAAATTATATATTAGCTTTTTTTTTTTTTTTAACAAAACAAACTAGTGAAGCACCTTTTTACACTGGATCTCTGCCGTGTCAAGGTGTATAGCTATCCTTTGCTACCTTGCAGATATATAAAACAAAAGGATATCCTGGGGCCTCATAGAACACCTTTAGACCATTTATTATTATTCATAGAACTGTTGAGAATCATGTTCTTTAGTGAATGATCTGTGGTTTACACTTAAGATGGTTAGAAGCTTAGTTACAGGGTAAATAGACATACATAGATCACGTAAAGCTCCAACTACTGTAGCTGGAATTTATAAACTTAAGTTTTAAGACCTGTTTTATTTCCTATGGATTTGTTAATTTATAGTTTTTCTGTAAGTTGGGAAGTAAAAATAGAGAAAATAGATGTGTTCTCAATATCTTATTCAGGAACTTTTTTTATCCCTCCTCACTAAGGAATTCCCACTGTGACTTTAAAACAAAAGTAAGTTTCTTGTGTGCATGTTTATGTCTGTTTTTTACACACATGCAAAAATATACATTGGGGGCATGGTGAGAGAGTTGAATGTGTACTTATATAAAAGTGCAGAAAGGTAACCCGAATGTATTGTAGAACTATGATTCATAGAGTTGAGGGTATGAGAGTTACTGTCTCATTGTGTCTTTTGAATAAATACACCAAATTCATTATGTTATATTAAAAGGCTAGCTCTGATATCATGTACATTTTATTTTATTTTAACCTTTGAATTAACTTACGTTTTTAAAGTGACATGAAAAACAGCAGATTCTAAGACCAACCTCTCACTTTTGAAAAT